CACCCACACCCACACCCACACCCACACCCACACCCACACCCACACCCACACCCACACCCACACCCACACCCACACCCACACCCACACCCACACCCACACCCACACCCACACCCACACCCACACCCACACACACACACACACACACACACACCCACACCCACACCCACACACACACACACACACCCAACACACCCACACCCAACACACCCACACCCAACACACCCACACCCAACACACCCACACCCAACACACCCACACCCAACACACCCACACCCAACACACCCACACCCAACACACCCACACCCAACACACCCACACCCAACACACCCACACCCACACCCACACCCACACCCACACCCACACCCACACCCACACCCACACCCACACCCACACCCACACCCACACCCACACCCCCACCCACACCCACACCCACACCCACACCCACACCCACACCCACACCCACACCCACACCCACACCCACACCCACACCCACACGCACACGCACACGCACACGCACACGAACACGAACACGCACACGCACACGCACACGCACACGCACACGCACACGCACACGCACACGCACACGCACACGCGCACACACACACACACTGAGACCGAGGCCCTGTGTCAGCCCCAATCCCACTCTACCAACCCCTCAACTCAACTGAACATTCTAAATCACCCTACATCATGGGCCTACCCTGGAGCAACCCGCGCTTGTCCAACCCCAAGCAAACCCTCTCTGAAATTGGCCTCTGGCCTTTGTGTCGATTGGGGCGCAAAGTAGAACACTGGAACGGGAAAGTTTCGTCAGACATGAATGAACGTGGCAGGCTACGGCGAGAGGAAGGGCACAGACAAATCATTGGCCAAAGATGCGAAGGAGCTGTCTTCGCAGCCAATGCGAGTGGGCCATTTTTTGCGCTTTCTCTGCCAGCACCAAAGCCCGGATCTTAGCACCTCCCCGAAAACGGATGGCAAATTGTGTGACTTGAGGTCTGTCTCCGGCAGAGCTTTCTGCGCTGTTGCGGCTGTTCAAGCGCCGAGACAGGCAGAACCGGAAAGAAAACAAGGACCGCCCACCGGGTGGCGCACCTCGGACTGCACAGGCCTTGCGAAGTTTTTTTCTTCTTCTGCTTCTCCTTTGTTCTGCAGGCATGTGATGTTTGTTGCCAAGGAGCTGCGGGAGGCGTGGGCATGGGAGATGCCGTACTCCTTCGCGCAGCAGCTGCAGGCCACGTGCTTCGCTTCGGGCGCGGCCCAGGAGGCGCTGCAGGCGGTGCGGGACGCGCTGAATACGAAGCGGTGGCGGTTCCACTGGGGGGAGCTGCAGGCCTCCTGGCGGCGCCTGGTGCTGGACGCGGCGCTGCTGCAGCGCTGCGAGGAGTCCGACTGCCTCCAACTCCTCCGCGCCAGCCGCGGCGCCGCCGGGCCGCTGCCGGGGGAGGTGGAGACGCAGCTGGCGGACTGCCAGGCAGAGTTGCAGCAGCTGCTGTCCTCCGACGCCGTCGAGATGTCGGCCACGGCTTTCGCCACGTGGCTCGCCCAGCAGCAGCTGCCGTTGGCGCCCGTAACGCTCTTTGCCGCCGCGCGGGTAGAGCCTGACAGCGTTCAGGAGCGCAGGGGTCTGCTGAAGAAGGACATCTGTGAGGTGCAAGCGGTGGAAGGTTCTGCTGGGGGCTGCCGCCTCAGCTCGACAGACATTTCTGTAGTCGGAACATTGGCTTGGTGAAAGTGCCTGAGCTCGAACATGGGAAGCTTGGACACCTTAAGGCTTTGTTCGCTTTGCGAGCGCCTTTCCTTCGGCGCCCAGCCTCATCCACATTTGCGCCACAGAGGCCACTTGGACACTGCGGCTCCAAGATCTCACAGAGAGGGGTGCCTTGGCTTCGTTCAGATCCCACGAGCCGAGCAGATCACCTGTGCCATGGTGCAACACCTTGCATGAACAACAACATGTAAATACTTCAAGCCAACTTTAATATATATATATATATATATATATAATCCTGCCAACAAGCAAAGCTGTTCATACAACATGAGTGTGATGTTTGACACGCATCTCCCGAGTCCCAAACATATTTTGCCATTTCTTTGTGTAATGTATTTGGTGGTCCTAGCTCGGCTGTGCGTTTGAGGATTTGGAGTATTCTCTGTTCAAACTCACCTTCGGATGTCTGCAAATTGCTTGGACTGAGGTATGACTCTTCAGCTCTCGCCCCTTGAAGTTGGACTTGATTGGAAGGCCCGCGCTGTGGTCTCAGCTTTGGGACTGACTGCCCACGCCAGGACGAGCTTCAACTGGTCTACTCCGCCGGAACTTGCACGGGCATCCTGCACGCAGGGCCGGGCTCGGGATCGCGCAGCCTCCAGGCCTACTTCATCCCGCGGCTGTCGCGGGCACCGGAGACGGTGGTGGTGCAGAGCTTTTTGAGGAAAAAGACCCGTGGAACGGAGGGAACGGCGGGAAAGGGAGCGGACACGAGCCCAAGCCCAGAGGTTGTCACTTGTCAGTTGGGCGCCTTCGGCATAGCTTGCGGCAAGCTGCCGGGGGACGGCCTCTCTTTGCGCTTAGTGCGCCGTGAGGATGAGGATGGCAAGGCAGCAAGTGAGGTGCAGCTGGGAGGGGTGGCGTTAGAGCTCAATGCTTCGGGTGCTGAAGTGCAAGTGGATGGCTTAGCGTTGCTTTTGCGCATGCACACATTTGGAAGGCGTCTTGCAATTCTTGCATGGATGTTTTTGAAACAGTCGTGACGAGAGCCAAAGTGATGTCTAGGTGAGGGCTCGGTGGTCGCCCACCTTGCCGCGCGTGTCCCGCCCCGGTCCTGCAACTGTGGCAGACGAGGGCGAGTGGCCAGTGGTGGTGGCACGTCCCACAGCCCGAGGCTTCGCAGTGTGGCTGCGCCCGGAGCAGCTTGGGGGTGCCTGGTGCTGCAAGTGGCCCGAAGATCCAATCCTTTAGGATTTTCATGATTTTCCAATCCCTCATCTTCAGCAAGACAATTCCTCAGATGCGCATAGAAAACAAACCAAAGAAACAACACTCATTTAAGAGGAGGCTCCTTTTGGGGATAAACTCTTCGTGAATCCGGGAGTTCGGGAATGCGCGGAATGCGCGGAATGAGTGCGGAAGGGAATGCGCCCGAGGCCTGCGCTACGAGGCGCGGTGCGCGGAGCCGCTGCTACACGCGGAGCCGCTGCAGCGCTGGGCGCCGCTGCCGGAGGTGCCCAACGAGGCGCAGGAGGACCGGGCGCTGCGAGACCGGCAGCAGGAGACCCCGAAACACGCGAGAGACGCGAGAGACCCGAGCCGTGGGCCGCCAAATGCGGAACGCGGGTCTTGCCAAACATGGGTACCCTCAAAAAAGACGCCCACATGGCGAACCATTTTTCTCGAGTTCCGATGTGCGACCCAACAGGTTCCCCACTTGACATTCGCAAATGACGGAAAAGGAGGCAAGGAGGGAAAACAAAAAGAGCGCCACCAAAAGACACAAACTTCAGGGTCATGAGTCATGAGTCAGAATATGTTTTGGCAATCTTGCGCGAAGACAGCAGAATTCATGTGGCTTGGTCTTGAACAGCTTGAACCAAGCAGGCTCCTACCTGCCCACCATTGCTTTTGCCAGCGCTTGGCCACCTGTAGTACTCTGCCGGAGGAGAGCAAATTGCGGTTCCTGGCAATGACGTCGCAAAGTGGGCTGCTGCTTGGCAAATTCCCAGGGCTGCACCATGCCCAGAGTCTCGCAGAGCGGCAATCTCTCTCCAAGGTCGCTGCCAGATTCCGAAGGCGACCTGTCGCCGCGTGCTGGCACTTTCCCCTCACTGGCTGGCTCAGGATGGGGCTCTCACAAACGTTGCGTTGGCTGCGTCCATGCCACAAAACGGATTGAGGGGTTGCAAGACGCTGCCTCAAGCGCAGGGTTCCCCATGGCTTGGTCTGCGCCGCCGTCACCTCCGGCAGCGCCTCTGGAAATAACTTCCATGGTGGAGCAGCCACAGCCGCCTCAGCCGAGAAAAATATCCGCGCGGGTCAAAGCGTTTGGCCATTGAGCTCGAGCGTCGTTGGCCTGACGCAGTGCCCGTTGTTGGCTCCAGCTGGGCACTGCTATAAGCCAACTGAAGGCTTTCATGTAATTGAAGGTCCAGAGGTTCTATCACGATGTTTCAGTGGTCGTACGCGTGCCTTGTTGACGACGAAATGGGCGGTGTCCGGCGTCGCGCTCACAGGCCGGAAATTGACTTGGCGTTTCCCTGGTCGAGCTCCTTCCAAACAAGTTGAGTTGGACTTTTGCCAGCTCCAAAATTGTGTGCAAGGTGCAGAAAGGAGGAGGCCACAGTTGGGATATACGCAACAAGGCCAAGGTCGTTCGCCCGTCAGGCTGAGCCGAACGAGGCGGGCACGACCAAGCTGAACCCCGGCATCTCAAGATCAGTGGACCCAAGTGGACAGTTTGAACCGTTGCCATTTCGGGGACATGGGGAGATGGGGAGATGGGCTGGCTGCGTTCGCTTGGAAGGCTCGGGAGAAGCCGGCGAAGCGCACCACGCGAAGCTCGCAAGGCGCGCTGGGGTCCGCGCGGCAATCCCCGCGTGCGATTTCCGGAAGTCTCTGGCCAGGCATCAAGCCGGACCTTGCCGAGGCGCGAAAAAATGGCAGAGGGTTTGACTTGCGGCTTGCGACTTGCCTCAAGGTCCTTCAGTGCATAGAGACCCTGTATGTGGACAAGTTGAAGCCTTTCGGCCACTGCCTCAAGTTCCGGGGCGAAGCGACTTGGACTCGTGGCAATTGTGGCATCCAGGGCTTGTAAATCCTACATGTGCCCACCCCAGGCCGAATCCTGCGAAAGCGTGTGGCTGAACGACATGTCCAGAACCACGTTGACCGACCTTTCGTTCCAGGAAGGGGTCGCAGCGCACATTAGACCCCATGGGCAATTCATGTTAGGTTCAATGCTTCGACCAGCTGGCAGGTTCAAACTTGGAATTGCCAGACGTGGATATCAAGTCAGGGACTCAACCAGGCAACCATGTGATGTCACAATGCAAAGTGAGAAGTGCATGGATGGGATGGATCTTGCTGTCTCGTTATCCAGGCATTTTACGCACAGCCTTTTTTGTCCGAAAAGATGGCCGCTGTTCGCCTCCCATAAAGAATGCATGGATCTCCAAGGCACCTGAAAGGAGTGTGCGAAGCCTCTGATTTGCTAGACATCTCGCTGGGCGCTTGGAAGGGACGCCAAGCGTGATGTGCAAGTGAGTGGTAAAGCGGACAGTTGAGATGAGCTAAATGCCTCTGATCTCACAACTCCCAAACATAGGCATGACCGGTGCACGTAAGCCGACAGACTTTTGTCAAGTCTGGGACCTTTTTTACTCGAGAGAACTCGGGCTTCAAGCTAGGCCGGAGGAGGGTGGTGACTGGTCCGCGACCTTCAAGGGCCGCAGTCAGCGCTTCGTGCTGTGGCCATGTTGAGCTGACTCATCGGGCCAAGATGGCCAAGGCAGTAACATGCCAGGTGGATATCTACAGCCCCTTCGACGACTACTCCCCTGTGGTTTGGCAGGCCGCTAAACAGTGCCCCTGGCAATTGGAAGGCCTGCACTGGAACCGTCGCAGTTCCAGCACATATGGGACGACTGTCAGCACTCGGACACAACACTTGCTTTCCCCATAGGTATTTTGAATGCCTGCCAGAAGAAGAAGCATTGCTGCCAGGTGGACAGGGGCTCAGATGGGAAAGGATGACTCGAGGTGTTGGACAGGTACAGTCCAGAAATTAATCCGAAGCCGAAGCCATCCCTCTTGCTCTCTAGTCTTTCCGCGTCTTTCCACACTTGCCAATGGCGGGCCTTGCAATGGTGGATGCAGGTGCCACGGCCTGGGTTCTGACGTCCACCGCGCTGGTGTTCCTAATGACGGCCGGGCTGAGCTTCTTCTACGGCGGCTTGGTCAGGGACACGAGCATCATCAACACCATGATGATGAGCATTGTCTCCATGGGCGTTGTGACGATGACCTGGGTGATCCTCGGCTTCTCCATCGCCTTCGGGGAGAATGGCCCGGTGATCGGGAACGCGGACTACGCGCTCTTCATGAACCTGGACATGGCGCCCTGGGGCGAGTCTGGGCTGCCGGGCCTCTGTTTCGCCTGCTTCCAGATGACTTTCGCCATCATCGCCAGCGCCATCATCTCCGGGTCCTTGGTGGAGCGCATGCGGTTCAGCGCCTACGTGGTGCTCATTGCTTTGTGGTCGCTGGTGATCTACGCCCCGCTTTGCCACTGGGTCTGGGGCCCCGGCGGATGGATCGAGGAGGCCAAAGATTTTGCAGGGGGGACCGTCGTGCACATCAGCTCCGGCGTGTCCGGCTTTGTTGCTAGCGGCCTTGTCGGCGCCCGCAGGCATGAGAAGGATCTTGGCCCGGCCAACGCGCCCTTCGTGATCGGAGGCTCCCTGCTGTTCGGCTGGCTGGGCTTCAACGGGGGCTCGGCCCGTGGCCACCACGCTCGTTGCGGCGGCCTCGGCCATGCTGACCTGGACCGCTGGATCTTCATGGAGCGGATGCTGAAGGGCAAGTCTTCCAGCGTCGCCATGGCAGGTGCCGTGGCAGGTGTGCATCACACCCGCAGCTGGCTTTGTCACACCCGGCTGGAGCATCCTCTTCGGGGTGTTGGGTGCCCCATGGTGCTATGTGTCCGTTGAGCTGCTCAACAAGCTCAACTTTGTGGACGACACTTTGGATGCCTTCGGCCTGCATGGCATGGGCGGCATTTGGGGTGCGGTCCTCACGGGCATTTTTGCCTTGGAGGAGGGCCTGATCTACTCGGGCAGCTTCCTGCTGATTGGCAAGCAGATCGCGGGAGCGCTGGCCGGAGCGGCCTTCTCCGCCGTGGGCACAGCCATCATCGTGCTGATCATGAAGCTGGTGGTGGACGTGCGGGTGCCCGAGGACCACGAGAGGAGCGGCGTGGACGAGCACACCCATGGAGAGTTCTACCACAGCCCGGTGAAGGCCTACAAGCCAAAGTCCAGCGAAGCCTCCGAGGTGTAAGTCGGAAGCGTGTAAAGCCGGCACTCGCACTCTGCAGTGTCTGCTTGGGATTGTACTATTAGAGCGCAAGGCAAGGGCAACAGACCCGGTGCCGTGCAGAAGGGTGCATAATTCGCAGGTGGTTGACGCAAATCAGCCGCCCCCTCTTCCCTTAAAATTGCCGGAGGGCCAATGGCAGCCAAGGAGTTGGCAAATGCAGCCCTCATTTGGCGATAGGATCTGCGACATGCTGAAGGCTGGAGGTCAAGGCATGGATGTCAGAGTTTTGCACAACCCGGTTATCCGAGAGCTGCAGCTGCGCATGCAGCTAAAAGGTCGGTCCGCTAGATGTGCATCTCTGGGTCTCCAGACGCCCGCTCACTTCTTGCCGGCGCCGAGGCCGCTACTCCTGCGCACAGGCTCTAGTGCAGCGACACCTGCCCTTCCTCAGCGGCTTCTCCCTCGGAGAGGCCCGGGAATGTCTTGACAACATCTCGTGCTCCGGCGCAGTCTTCATGAATGGAACAGGTTGCCCCTTGCGTTGACGCTCCTGGTGAGTTGGCATCATTGTTTGGGGGCACAGTTTAGGGAACTGATGGAATAATGGAATATTAGCAGGTCTGCCACCTTGTGCAGCTGGCCATCTCCAAGCACAAGATCCTAGGCTGTACTGTAGTGTTCGGGTGGCACCAGGGTTGGCTGTCCGATTAATTAGTCCTCTTGCAGGTTACTGTAACGGCGCCGTTGTGCCTTACAGCCGCTCTCAGTCTGCTCCTAAAGGGGCCGTTGAGGTCTGGGGATGTGTCAGGTACAAGGACACAGCAGTTGATCCACGGCGGGCTCCGGAGCTCGGGAGACCTGCGTGCAGTCCCTCAGGTCTCGAGTCAAGGAGGAGTGCGCCGAGTCGCAGCAGCCGTGCCGATCTTAGAGAGAGAAGATGTGGAAGGTTAGACACTCGGTTTCTGCATGTCCTTTCGATATCTTTTTATCTTGGAGCAGGTGCGCCCAGGCGCCCAAGGAAGACCAAGACAAGGCGCTGTCCTTGGCGTCCCTGGAGAAGGCCGGCCTCAAACTTGCTCTTTGCAGTTAGCGCAGTTAGCGCAGTTAGCGCAGTTAGCGCTGAGCACTTGTGAGGCACGCGAGTGCCTGCGCGAGATCTTGGAGAATGCCGAAGTGCCGGGTGTCCATGGGCTATGGGCCCAAGCTTTTTGGACGGGACAAGACAAGCTGACATTCAAAGCATTGCGTCTCGAGGCCATCAATGATCCCACTGTCCAACGTGAAGCGACTCTTCAGGTCAAGGTGCGGCTGCGCGTGGGAGCAGTGGTCCGAGCCCGGCAGCTGGCAACCGGGAGAGTTTCTGTCACCGTCGGTCCAAAAAAAACAAAAAACGAGACATGTTCCTCGTGCCAGATACCAAACAGAGCTCAGCGAGACGGCTCTGGGCCACTCAAAGCTTTCGGAGCTCCTGTGCAGAGCCCAGTGACATGAGCCTGGCTGTGCGTCCCCCTTTCGGTTTTGGGTTCTTCTGTGTTCTTCTCCTTCAAAGGCTTTTGGGTTGCCCCCGGTTTCTTTCTAGAAGAATAGGGCCCAAATGGGCAGGGCGTCTCAGTTGGCTTCCTTTTCATCGTTATCACCATTGGCTGAACATGCATTACCTGGCTGTGAGAAATCGACTTGATTGATGCCAGGGATACCAAGAGACATCCCCCAATACCTCCGTCCTCACTCATCACCATAAATTTCTCAGCCAGGACACCCAATGGTCCCATTAGGGTCTTTTGCCTGCAGGCTAAGATGCCCGCACGACCGCACACCTTAGGCAAGACCAGCGCTTCTCTGACATTTGCGAGGCGTTGGCTATTCTTTTTACAGCGGCTGCCAGTCGGGGTTGAGTCCAGGTGCAACTGCAGGGCCAAGGCTGGGAATGCGAATACGACGTGTCAGTCAGAGTTCGCGCGAGGCTACATTGTGGTGCAGAGGGAGAAGAAGCCGAAGGATCGAGACACAGTCAGGGCCTCAGGGCCTCAGGGCCTTGCGACAGGGTCTTTCCTTTGGGCCTTGGGGCCTTGGTACCTTGGTGAGTTTTGTGCCCTGACAGGTGGTGAGGTACACCGGCGGTCCCATAGGGCCCTCGGAAAGCAAGGAGGACACGGAAGGCGGGAGTTCTTGCAAGCGGGCTGTGGAGAACAAGGTTTTTTCTCGCAGACAAAAAGCTGAGCAGGAAGCGGACATGCGCCGCTGACAAGACCAGTCTGTCTAGACATTTTGATGGGGGATGCATCACGTTCCCCCCAACAAGGCAGGATTGCCCCCAAAATCCGCAGGCTGTTGTGAGTTGTTTTTGGAGAATCTGAAAGCTTTGTGCAGGCCTCGAGAGCCTGGCAGTGGACTGCGCATTGACGCCTGCTCCACCGGCTCAAAGTTTTGCCATGGCTTGCAAAACGAAGGATGTGGATTAGGTGGATGCTTTCGAGTTGATAGACGAGCAGAGAGATCCAATTGAGAGTGCGTACGAAGCCAGGTTTTAAGCGACAAGTTTGGAGACCGCGAGCTTCGTGAGTGCCTTGCTTAGGGGGTCAGGGGTCAGTCTGCCTCGGCCTCACATCACAATACTGATAGCCTTCGGGCAAATGCGCGGATCAGCTCCGTATCTAAGGATGGACGAGGATATGCCGCCGCCAACTCCACTGCAGCCGACACCTTTGGCTTCTCCTGGCACGGCCACGCCCAACACGGCCAGCAGGCGGCCTGCTTTGCTGTTCATGCCAGTTGATGTACTTCATGTATTGGGCAAGCAAAAAGTACACGCAAGCTTGAAAAGAACGGCCTGGCTTTCCTTTTGCAGGTGGCCTGTGTACAACCTCTGGCCCTTCCAGGTTCGCCGACGCTGACTTGGTTACTCAAGTGGAGAAACGTGGGTGTTTGTGAAGTGACAGTGCCATCTCCGGTTCTCACTCTTTCCTGCATGCAAGAAGGGTAGATGCTGAAAATTGTGAGAAGCTCGCCCAGATGCACGCCCACCTTTGGGGCGAAGCGCCACCTCTGCCGCTTGGAGGTGGGCTGGAGGGAGCGTGAGTCGGCCGAAGTGTCGGGGGAAGAGCTCTGAAGTGCTTGGGCCACTTGGGACACTGCGGTTTTTGTTTTGGCCAAAGGATGATTCGCTTGATGCACTTGTGGCAGTGCAATTGTGCCAAGAGGCAAGCCACCGAGGCAAGATTTGCACAGAGACCAACCCTGGTGACACAGCCGCTTGGCAAATGTCAGCGACTGTCCTGTCGCGCTTTGCTTGGCCGGTCAGGACAGCACTGCAGACAGCGCACGGTCCGGCGAGCGGCCAGTTCCGCACAGCCCCGCGCCCTCCTCAGGCAGGGAGCTGTGCTACGGGCGCGGGGGGCAATGGGTTTTCGACAGGCAACTTGGCGGAGGCGCACAGTCCGGAGGATGCTCCCATGAAGGCACAGTGTTGAAATGAGGGATGAACAGGCTGTGCTTTGTTTGGGTCCATGGTCCGGTAGGTGAGCATGTTTGACCCCCCCCCCAAGGTGCAGGTCGAAGCCGACTGAACAAGCAGCTGTGTTTGATGGGTTTGCACTCAGGTTGAGCTGAGCATCCTGCAGCGTATGCATGCTGCTGTACCAGATCTAGACGAGGATCCGGACAGCTACCTGCTTGACTGTGCTCTCTTGTTTCCGACAGTGCTGGACCATGAGAGACACGCAGAGCGCACTGAAGGAGGAACCTCGAGCACGAATCCCGCATCCCAGCGGCTATTCATTCCGTTTAGCCCGCGGAACGACCCACCTTCAGAGCCCAAAGAGCCGCATCTTCAAGTCACGGTGTTTGGAGAGAAGCACATACATATACATATATAAATATACACATTGGACTATATATCTACATATATATATATACATATGTAGAGCCACATGTCAATGATGCATTTTTCACGTGTCATTGGCGCACCAACCACACATCCCACATGTCAAGGTTCTGTCCAGGCGAGCCGCTGACGCTGGAGGAGCGCGGCTGGGCGGGTCGAGGGATCCGATGGCGATGGGATTCTTTCAGGACGTGTGTGACCGACCGCCCGGGCTGCAACCGGCCACGGCCACAGTCAAGCCATTGGAAAACGGGAGGAATCGGATTCTTGGAGTCAGCTCAACTGAAGAAGAGCAACAATCGCTAATACGCAACATGTTTAGCAGGCGCCCAAACAATGTGGATGCTCGGCACGTGCGGACATGTCAATGACCACAGAGCAGCACAAGTGCAAGGTTTGGCCACATGCGGAAAGCCAAAGAGTGAAAACTTGCGCCGCTCAAGGCAGATCAGGTGAAGAACACCTTCATCCATTCAGCTGCCACACCTTTGGCCCCTTGGCAGGACAGATACCTTTAGCCGCCTAGCCATCAAGTTGTTGGCCCTCTCGCTTTCCTTCAGCTTGAGGTGACGCCCGAACCAGGAGCCTACAGGAGGTCGCAGTCTGTGCCGAAGGAGCTTTCGGCTTGATGAATAGATGGCATCAATCGCACCATGTTCCAAAGTTGGGGGCTTTTGGGCAAAAGTGCAGCCGCAGGTGTGCACTTGACTTCAGGGTCCACGTGGGGAACATTTTGGTTCAAGTAGACATCCCTGTGATTTGAAACTTTCCCTTTCTGCACCCTCGTAAGCCATGTACGCTCCGTCCTTTGCGGGTGCTACCGTTGCGGAAGCGAAGGCCAAGGCTAGGGCTTCCATGGAAAAGTACCCGGCAAGCCTAGTGCAGAGGGAGGAAGCAGGTTGGTCCGTCCAGCAAGCGCCTGATCTGACACGCCCCCCGATAGCGTTTTTGAACACAAACAGACTGCGGAGCAGAAGCCCATGCCCAGGTTCCCCTTAGCTGCGCTCTTTGACAAAGACTTTGACAGGCGGACCACGCCTGCTGGTGCTCGGCCTCGCCGACCAAGTGAAGCGATTCCAGCACAAGATCACTCTGGACAAGGAGCCAGGGCCTTCGCCTCAACGAGCAATCGCGTCGCTCGCGCTCTTCGGGCTCCTCCTACTTGCGAGAGCTGTTCTGCATTGCGCAGAAGGCTCAGTCTCACACTCCAGAATCTTGGTTGCCAGGAAAACGCGTTTTCCCTCTCGAACGATCCAGTGCGGCAATCTTGATGGAGCTGGTCCTAGAGTTGCGTGACAGTCAGGCCATGCTAGGGCCGTCGCATGTCAAGCGTGACTTTAACACTTGGGCGGATGAACTTCCCAATTTCCGGCGGAGAGCCGGATTTTTCCATCAATTGATCATGTCGATCTTCGCCTCCTTCCTTCCTCACCCTTAATGCCAGGAGGGCGTCCGGTGAGGTGGGAGGGATTCCCCCGCCGCTGGCGGAGTCCGGCGTTGAAACGAGGTGCTGAGGGGAGCTGCTGGGCAAATCCTCCCAATTTGGCACTAACCGTCGCTCTCATAAAAGCAAAGACTGCCTCGTTTCTTGTTGTAAGACCTTAGTCGCGCCAATGTGGCGCTTTGATGTCGATTGGCAAGCCAGCAAAAGGCGTGAGATTTGGAGGAGGTTGGCCATGGCTGCGGCGAGGCTGAGGCGCAGAGAGGATTTAGGCTTGCTTTGCAAATCCACTCTTCCGCCCAAATTCAGACAGTTTGCCAATTGTTGATGAGCGCCCATCGCAGATGCCGTCTGGCCATGACACCTCTTGCGGCGTGGTTCCATCTCCTGCATTTCTGCCGCAAAGCTGCAAACAGATCCAGCGCAGCGCATCCATCTCGGGCCAAGCTGCTTGCCAAGAGGCCTCCGCCGACACCGAGCTCCCCTTTGTTCTCTCGAGGCTACGAGGCCAAGACGCGCGAGCGAGAGAGGGGTGAGAGAGCGAGAGAGCAAGAGAGCGAGATTGGTTTGTGAACGGAGAGAGAAAACGGAGAGACTCGGAGAGAGCCGTTGCGACTATTCACGCTTCACTCCAGAGTTTGCGCAGGCAATATTGCGGTGGCCTCAGCTTCATGAAAACTCTGAGTGTGCAGAGGGAGTGAGCTTGTTGTGCTATTTAGGCAGCTGGACCACCGTGCGTCGAACAGAGAGCCTTGGCAAGCCAACTTCAGGGCACGACTCCAGATGCACTGGAGAGTTCGCATACCTCCTGTGCCCAGGTCATTCGCTTGGCAGAGTTGATTTGATCCGGGTTGAGTACTTGACGGCTGAATTCGGCCCCATGGCCTGAACGGTGACAGGGCGCCTAAGCTTTACAAGCAATTTCAGAAGGCTTCTCGAGTGAACTTTTTTCGAGCACTCCGCGCTCAAGATTATCGTCGCCTGTACTTTCCCTCTCTGTGTCTCTCTCTCTCTCTCTCTCTCTCTCTCTCTCTCTCTCTCTCTCTCTCTCTCTCTCTCTCTCTCTCTCTCTCTCTCTCTCTCTCTCTCTCTCTCTCTCTCTCTCTCTCGTTAAAACCGGTTGTTACTTTGCTTACAAGTGCAAGCGCTGTAGTGCTCAAACAAACAGTCAACCGATGTAGTCTGCAGCTGCCAACCTTTTCACTCATGCGAAGTAGTGAGCTCAAGGCCTGCAGTAGTGAACCTACATGCAACACAAATGCAGGAAGTGAAGCATGTAGTTTGACACGGCCCCTCAGTTAAATGGTCTTTGTAGTGCCTTTTCAACTGAAGTGCAAAACATGGATTGACAGTAGTGATGAAAACCATTGTTGTTCATCAATTCTACTGTGGTTGCAAAAGTAGTGACATGCGCTCAGTAGTTCACGCTGTTCAGGTTCCAGCTCGATGCAGGGCGCTGGATGGAAGTAGTGAGGCAGGCGCTCGTTGTAGTGGAGCATGAGCTCAAAGATGTAGTCCCCATTTCTGGGCGCGATAGTCTTGGACCATCTGGAGTCTGTTGTCCAAGGTCGCGTAGTAGTGTATGGTGAAAAATGTTGTCATGTAGTTTGGAGCTCCCCGTAGTCGCTCGTCGTCTATTCCAGGGCACGACATGTGTTGGTCGTACTCCCTGAGAAAGCGGTGTAGTAGTGCTTTGTGATGTTGAGTGAGGTTTGTCATGGTGAGTAGTGTGAATCCGTAGTACTGGATGCTTTTGCAAAGAATGGTAGTGATCGCCTTGTGTTGGAAGTCGTGGAGTTGGTCGCGGTTGTAGAGGTAGTGGAGTAGTTCAGGTAGTAGTAGGGGCATGTGGTAGTTCCAAAGGTAGTTGTTCCTGAGGCTGTAGTTGTCAGTGAAGGTGGTCATGTTGTAGTTCACCTTGTGGATGGTCTGTGGAATTGGTGTGGTCGGGAGGTAGTAGTTCTGTTGTATGGACATCATGATGTAGTCCCTTGTCCTGAAGTGAGGTACCTCAGGAGTAGTGGTTGTTCAATCTGGAGTTGGATGATGACGTAGTTGGTGTTGTCGCTGGTTGTAGTGTGGAGTGAAGTCGTGTGGTAGTAGTGGACGTTGGCTGCTTCAGGTAGTGAAACGCTGAGCAGTGTGGAGTTGTAGTGGGGCATCCGAAGGTCTCCAGGGATGCAGTGAATGGGTCGCGTGTCCAGTTGTGCCAGTGGAGTTGCTTGTTGTTGTGAGAGTAGTTGATACTCTTCAAGTGTGAGTGCAGTGAAAAACTGAGTGTCGGGTGTGTTGTCGGGCAATGGTGGTGTAGTGGTTGTCTGGTGCTCAGTGATGTGTAGTTGGTCCATCACTGTGATCGGGTTGTAGTAGACCGTGTTGCCAGGTGTAGAATGGTTGAAGTGGTAGTTGGAGTCGTTGTAGGTTTGAGGTGGTGGAGTTCCGTGGTCACTGGAGTCCGTAACCTCAGGTGTAGTTGCCCTGTCGGGCGTAGTGGCGTCTCCCATCGTAGCATCTGCAGTAGATGGAGCGGCCATGGCGGCAGCGGAATGCAAAATGTAGTGAAACGGGGCAAAAAACAAAATGAGCCTAAGTAGTTGCTGTCAGGCAGGCGGCGCACGCAGACATGTAAAACAAACAACTGTAGTGTTGACTCAGCCGCCAAAAGTGCAAGTGAAAATACATGTAGTTACTGTTACTTACATACCAAAGGTGTCGTGTTACATGTAGCTACTGAAATGTCCAAAGTCGTTGTTGTTGTTGTAAAACTGCTGTGCTGGTCGTTCGTAGTGCTAAATGCGTATCCCAATGCTCTGGATGAGCCTGTGTAGTGTTTCTTTGCTGATGTATTTGGTAAACAAATCTGCGCTGTTGCGAAGTGTGTTGATCTTAAGGATTCTAATGATGTCGCGCTTGATGAGGTCTTGTGTGTAGAGAAATTTGAGGTCGATGTGTTTTGCTCGTTTGCCAGTGCCTTGTCGTGTAGCAATGCTCTTGCCTGCTGTGGAGTCTGTGTGGATGCGTAGGTTTAGCTTGCTGCAAATGTTGGTTTCAAGTAGGAAGTTTCTGAGGTGTAGTCCCTCATTAATTCCTGTGCAAATGGCGTAGAGTTCAGACTCTGCTGAGCTGAGTGCTATTGTAGCTTGTGTTCTGCTGCCAATTGCAACTGTTGTTCCTAAAAAGATGATGTTGAAACCTGAAGTTGATTTCCTGGTAGTAGGGCATCCTGCCCAGTCGGCATCGACATGAACGTCGAGATCCAGGATGTTGTTGGTGTTTTCTCTGAGTGTTGTTGTTGGTTCTATGGTGAAATTGTAGTGCTTGGTGCCGTGCAAGTAGCGTAGTAGATGTTTGACTCTCTTTTGTGAAAGTTCTGTAGGTGCTGTGAGGTCTCGTGTTAGTTCTTTTGTGGAGTATGCAATGTCTGGTCGTGTGTATGCTAACCATTGAAGTTTGCCAACAATCCTTCTGCACCTTTTGTGTTGTTCGTGGTCAAGTAGCGCTTCATCTTCTATTGTTGGTTTGTAGTGTGCAATTCCTGGAGTGTTCACTGAGTTGCAGTTGTTCTCCTCGATCATGTTGTCGATGTAGGAGTCCTTTAGTCCAAGATTGCAGTAGTTGCCAAAGTGGTCGATGTTTCTTCCAAGGAATTGTTGTGGTTTGCCAGGTTCGAGGTAGCCGATGTGCTTGAGTAGGACCTGCTTCTGGACGGCCTCGAACGTGGAGTCGACCGCAGTCTCCAAGTACTAGTAGATCGTCCACGTAGACCATGATGTAGCAGTCGTGTGTCGCATTGGTGTAGACGTTAGGTTCTGACTTTAGTCATACAAAGCTGAGCTTTTGTAACACTTCAGCCAGGTAGTCTTGTCATGCTTTTGGTGAACTGCGTAGTCCACACATGGCTTGCTTTAGTCGCCAGATTCTGTCCTGTTGTAGACAAAGTTCTTTAGGTGGCCAAAGGTAGACGTCACGTTGTTTACCGTCGTGGTCTTTTGCGATGGGTGCGTGTAGAAATGCTGTAGAGACGTCACCTAGTCGCGCGATCCAGTTTGGTCGTGACATTTGTAGTGCTAGAAGTGTCCGGAGTGTCGTGAACATTGGTGTAGAGGCGTAGACGGAGTCTTCGTCCTCGATCTTCTCTGTGTAGCCTTTTGCAACGATTCGGCTTCGTACTCCTGGTCCTTTCTTTCTATGTACCCATCTTGTAGGTATCGCTTCTCTGATGACGTTGTCGTCGACGGCAGACGCATCTACTTCGTCGTAGACGTCATGTAGCTTCATTTGGTTTGACTCGTGTTTCATTCCTTCCAGTAGTTGTTTCGCCGTAACCTTCGTTGTCGAAGATTATGGGTTAGGTGTCGTCGTTTGTGTAGGGGGTGATGGATTTTCCGTTGGGAAGTGTCACTGCGTTGATTTTCTGTCGTAGTGGTGGTGGTTCTTTGGTTGCTTGCTCCGTTGATCTGATTGTAGTGTCCTTTGAGGTCTTCTGTGCTTTAGTTGGTTGCATTACTTCTTCCGGAGTTAAACGTCGTAGTGTTTGTCGAGGTGCTGGTAGTGGTGGATGTTGTCGTCCGGTTGGTGAAGTAGCCATAGGACTGTCCGGTAGTGGTCGCGAACTTGACGTCGATGTAGACGGAAGTGGTGGAGGTGGTGTAGTGCGTTGTTGTTTTGTTCTCTCTCTCTCTCTCTCTCTCTCTCTCTCCTCTCTCTCTCTCTCTCTCTCTCTCTCTCTCTCTCTCTCTCTCTCTCTCTCTCTCTCTCTCTCTCTCTCTCTCTCTCTCTCTCTCGCTCTTCGCTCTTCGCTCTTCGCTCTTCGCTCTTCGCTCTTCGCTCTTCGCTCTTCGCTCTTCGCTCTTCGCTCTTCGCTATTCGCTCTTCGCTCTTCGCTCTTCGCTCTTCGCTCTTCGCTCTTCGCTCTTCGCTCTTCGCTCTTCGCTCTTCGCTCTTCGCTCTTCGCTCTTCGCTCTTCGCTCTTCGCTCTTCGCTCTTCGCTCTTCGCTCTTCGCTCTTCGCTCTTCGCTTACCGAGCAGGAATTGTCGTCACCATCCGGCAGGGTACCCTGTTGCCGTGAGCGTGGCTGGGCTGCGCTCCATTGGTGCTTGGATGTAAGGGAGCCGAACCGGAGACACTATGCTGTTCCTTGCCACACAATGGTCGGTCCCAGACACCCAAGCACCATGCGCCATCAAACGTTCCGGGTTTGTACAGCTGCCTCCACAGCTTTTGATGTGCCTGGAGCCTTCACCACCAAGTTCCAAACATGCAAAGCCAAACCATATAGGCTAGGACTAGTTGGCGAGTGGCAAGTTACGTCCTGAGCACGCAACACTAGGCTTTCTCCAATAGTAACTTGTCACGACCCAAACTTCTTCGCTTGTGCCACTTTAACGTACTTGATTGGCCAGAGGCGTTCCGCTTCTGGCGCCCCGCGCGCCCCGTTGCGGGGGTCTTAAGCCGACTCGAGAGCGCAGGGCTGCGCGTGAGACCTGTGCTCGTGCTGGGCTTGGCCGTGGCCTACACTTGAACTTCAAGAATGGTGGACATAGTATACATGCAACCGCCAACAAGACACATATACAAATGTCAGGCAAAGGTCACCTATTGAAATTCAGACCCAAAGAGTTCAGACGCAACTTGGAATTAGCCAAGTCAAGACCCAGCCTCGGGTTGCTCAAGGGAGGTGCGCTGCACGAAGGATGCAGGTGCACCCTGGCACGGCCAGTTTTGCATGCCACATTCGTTGAGGAGCCGCGCCTCTCTTGTCAGAATCTAGCAGTGATGCCATGGATCCCATCTCGGAATTTTCTCGATTGCGCTTGAACTGGGCCTTTTTGCCTCGGGGATCCA